ATTCATTTGAAGATGCTGGTGTCTTTCAAATTGCTAATCTGTCTATCGATGAACCAAAATAGGAAGCAACAGCATTTACTGATACTAAGATGAAGATGCTGGAGAGGAATCTAAAGATAAATGATAGAATTTCTTGCATTTTTGTTCTGTTGAACTTCACGTTTGGAGAAAACATATATGAACTTAATGTCAAGTTTGTTTGATATTTGTTGTATACTGTGATGCAACAAGTATAAATATGTTCTATTTGTTTTACACTGTAAAAATTACAAAAGTTAAATGAAAACAATATTATATCTACTTTTAGTTGACGTACGCAATGTGTCCTACATTTCTGAAAAATCATGTGTCGGTGTTAGTGCTTCCTAGAATTCTCAATTCACATGCAAATCAAACAAAGCTAAAAATCGAACTAACTTCAGGACATGATTTATGATAATGAATGCTCTAGCCCACAAGAAATGTTTAGGTATTTTTGTTGCTCAAGGATTTCATCATTAATCTGCTTTTGAAAACACAAAACAATTGCTGAAATATCACATTGCTGAATATTATAACATCCCCATCTTTCCATATCTGCCTGACTCTAAATAGAAATATCTCATCCTATGAACTTGGAACTGCAAGTCATCACTCTTGGAACTGAAAACCTACTCTTTTTTCATGATTTAAAAAATAAAGAAAATTCATTATGGCAGGAACATAGAGAAAAGTGGAGGATGAGATGTCCACTAAGACATAGCCCATGGTGAATAATATAAAGATGACTAGTGTCACTCAACTCACAAGCACACCTTGAGAGTTATTAGCAAAGAAGAATATATAAACATATGTTTATAAGTGTCTACTTAGGAAAAGACACTTAGCAGGGTACTACTAAGATGCAAATAATCCAAACATGATGCACCACCTCGCTGAAAACACCTATATAAGCATTCACAGGACGTACACATTTAAGAGAGATTTTCATGTTAAAAACATTCTAGAATGCTCTAAATCATGGCTGAGTAATCTAGCTCAGTGCTTCAAAACAAAACCCTAAAGTAAGACAGCAAAATGATGTCAAACTAAAAGATAGAAAAGGGGAAGTCATTACTTTTCTTTGGTTGGTTGGATGAAATATATGGCATCCATGGTTGGAAGAGGCTGCCTTCGCTTGTGTATGTCTTCCACCACTGCAGGCAACATGTAAAATAGTAACTTCTCAAACACAAAACTGACACGTTAAATTCAAATAAGGATGTGTCAAAGCCAGTTGATCACAAGCCATAAGATCAATTTTACAGGATACAAGTCCCCATTGGCCTATTACGGGATCAATTCAGTGCCAGTTCCACCTTCCAAAATCATAAAATAGATTCTCCTGGATAGGACCACTTTCGTGGGAAACATCAGAAACAAATTGATTCCCTGAGTATACATGATAACATATTTGAAACTATCAGGTCGGCTGTAATTTTTTTAACAAGTTTCACTGTGTAATTCTTTTCCTAGCATCATAATTTTATGATTCTAGCTCCAGAATTAGGCATTATATCAGAATTTTACTTGATAAAGATATCAGGAATGGAAATGGGAGACATGGCTAAACAGGATGAGATTTGCAGACATTTATGATCATTAACAAGCATTAGGTAAATGAATTGCCTATAAGAAGATATTTCAACAACAAAACTTGGCATCCACAACAGATTTAAATGCTATTCCTTAAATCATCACAAAGTTAAAGCATTGAGCAACCCGTCTTAAAGCTTATCTCAACAACCCCCCACACATGCAGACCAAATTCAGAATTTCAATATAAAAAGTGACATGGAAATTCATAAATGGGTGACCATGACACTTGAAAACTTGACATTTGTCATGATACCATGTTAAACCACTTCATCTTAGAAAACAGGCTTTTACAGAGCTAAAAATTTATTGATTTATATTTTATCTTCAACATAAGGACCTCTCAAATCTACCAGAAAAGAAATTGCAGCAGCTCTAGCAGCTAAGATTCCTATTCATTAAAATGATTATTCCATTGTGACACTCAAAAATACTTATGGAGACAATAAAAATTAGAAGACACAAAATTAATGAAGAAAAGATCAAAGTGCAATTACCAACTCAGACTTGTCGGCAATTAGTTAAACATTGTTAACAAGCTAAATGGAACGTTTATAAGAAATATGCTAAAAAGGTATTTACTGGATAATATTAATAGCATGTGAAAAATAAAGCACCAAACAAAATGCAAGGCAACGAGTACAAAGAAGACGATACAATTTTTCAGAGACTAGCCTTTTATATCTTACATGAAACTCCTTCCTCGGTGATATCTGCCATCTTGCACGAGTAAGACATTATCTTAACAGTTACCTTGTCCATTATGAGTACCTGAAAGAGAAGTGTTAAAATTGGAAAGTGATTGAATAAGATAGTTTAAAATAGAAGCAAGTGATGTAACATTACAAAGCATATAAAACCCAAAAATGAATGCTTGCTGCTGGTCATTGATAAGTTTACTGTCAATGGGCAGTAGTACCTACCATACTGTATCTTGGATATAAATATTGTGTTTACGAAGATAAATCACAGGAGTAGTCTATAAATAGAACTACAGTTCAGTCTGCTCAGACAGAGACTTCCAAAGGACAACAGAATCTTGTCTGATTTTCGAAGATTAAATGTTAGCTTAAAAGAAACAGATCAGTCCTGAGTGCAAAGTGAAATAAACTCTAAATAAAGGGTATTAATAAATGAATCTCAGTCATCGATCTTCACCGCAACATGGAACAACTAAACCTAGAAATAGTAACCTTATCTTTGATCTAGTTAAAACTCACTCCACAGCTTAATACCTTAGCTGTAGGAAGGCATTATGATGTCCCTATTGCTAACATTTTCCTCGAATACTCCTTCCTACTGCACAAGTCTTTTTATCGTGTTAAAGATTGATATATTGAGGTGATAATAACAGCATTTACTAAGTCTGTATGTGTAGCATACTGGGATGGTGTATATGGCATATATCAGTCTAGTGAACTTGTAAATAAGTACGACTATACATATGCATATGAGATTAGTAGAAAACATTTGCTCTCTTTTTTAAGATTCAGGCAAAATTGAAGACACTAAACACTCAAGTCAGTTACTAGTTGCATGTTGACATGATCTGGACTTATTGTGCTATTCATGACCAAATCGATCAATTCCAGATGGATGGGGAAGGGTATAAGCATATCTAGATCAAAACTCCGATTTGTTACACTTTTTCTAGCTGCTTGGCCTGACTACGGGTTCAAATCCCTTACTTTATATTTCCATTTGGCATTCCTCTAGCAACAGATAAGCCCTAGCAGTCATCTAAGTCCATAGCAATAACACTTGCACCCACACTCCAGGAAGTAATAGATATCCTGGTTGAAGTTAATTATACCTTCCAACTTGATTTTGAGTCACCTGTTTTGGCCGATCGAAGCATTTCATACAACAATCCTGAAATATGCACATAAAATATTTGAAAAGGTTAAAAAACAGCACAATCCACTCTAAAGTTGCTGCAGGAATTCACTGAAATTGACAAATTTCAATTATTTAATTAATGACTATAAGTCTACATCACATCTGTTATAGATAAACTCCAGGGATTATAATGAAACCTTGTGCAAGTCAAGTTGAAGTTGCACTTCTCATAGTCATTAAATTTACAAAAGAGGAAATGAAGGGAATTATATATTCATATGAATTGCATATTTATACCATAACAATTCCTATTTTTAGTTGACAACTTGAAATGAATTCTCACTACTCCAGGTCTCAGCTAAGTGCTTGGATACCGAACACTTCTCTTCAATATCACACAGTTGCCTAAAAATTAAAGCATCACCTGCTTTGTGAATCAACTTTTGTTTCTATTGCATTTGGTTTAAGCCTCTTTCGAACGCTGGTTATCCAAGGTGTAGCTATAATCTGTTCCTCTTTTCTTCAAATCAAACACTAAGTCTCAGATTCATTGGAAGGGGTGATGTGCAGTTTAAATTGAAATGAAATCATTTGAATTGAATTCAAAATTAATAGTATTTAACTTTTTATTACATTATGAAACACTACAATTAAACTTCCCCGTTAATGTTGAACTCTAGCCAAAAGTGATAAAGAAGCTAAGACTTTGACAATAATCTCAAAGAGTTGAGTATTTCAGCAGAACCAAATTATTTTCACATGACCAGTCTGAGAATTCAAGAGGTCTTCCAGCTTTTATTTTTGAAAAATGATTTAAGTTCATTTGACTCTGATAGATGATCAGGGCTCTATAGTGTATCAGGATTTACGTAATGGAGGACTTAAGTTTTACGATTTTATCGAACCAACTATACCAAATCTACCCCGTCCTCATCCTACATTGATACTCTCCTTTGCCTCCATCCACGTATTGCTTTTCCTCTCCCAAATCCTCATCCACCAACTTACAATAGAATGCTGAGGCACACTGAACAAGTTAAAGTTCTAGCAAGGGATCTCACAGGTTGATTTTCGGCAAGGACAGATTGTCAATTACATGATGAAAGATTTTCATGTTGCCAAAGAAATGTTCCAGCCTGTAAACTCTATTATTACTCTCTAAGAATGACTCCCTTTAATGAGGTACTGGTTATCCCCAATCTGTAGTCACCAATCCGTTTGTTTACCATCAAATAATGTCACCCCTTATTGTAATTGTTACATTATCAAACTAAATCCACAGGTTTTAGACTAGCATTGTACACTACTTCTCTTAGGGTAAGTATTCAGTGGTTTCTTGTATACAGTTGCTCACATTCTATCTTTTTATTTATTCTCAACATGATCCCACAATTAAGCAAAGAGATTGTTGAGGAATTATTCTCAACAGAAGATTTGTTTTGTACACAAGCAATGATATGATTGATTCATGAAATTGTGTATCCTTGTTCATACACAATAGATAAAAGATGCTTGGTTGAAAACAAATCTACGATGTCTTCTAAGCTCTATGGCAACATAATGGAATCCCAGTCAATAACAACAGTTTGTCACATGAGCCAACATTACAAGAATTGTCTTCTTGTTCCTCATCATCTTATTTGCTCATAACCAAACATCATCACTAGTTCCCTAGAAATCAAAAATTTCTTTTCAAACTCTCACAGAGGAACCTATACATGCTTCTGTAGGCCTCGGAATTGAGCTTAAGTCGTGAATGTGACGTTCATCTTCCTTTCTTTAATTCTGCAAAACGCTCCAACGTAATCTCCCACTGAATAATTCCACAATTTGTTGATCCAAAAAATTTAGAACCACGAGAGGAGTTATACATAAGAAATCCAAACGACTTAATCAGTTTATCATCGGAAAAGCACCATGCTACAAATAAAAAGTTAAAAATTTGTTTTAGAAACTTCAATGAACTAATAGCAAATTACCTCCAGACAAACAAAAAGGTGTTAATAAATACTGAATTTCCATTCAATTTAATCAGATAGATGAAATTGAATTGAATCCAACGCATATTCACTCAATATTATACATAGAGTTAAAAGGAAAAAAAAGGTAACATGGACTAACTGTCACGGCTAATTTGCCGGAAGTTCTTGTACTCTCCGCCCTGAGACGACGAATCGGAATCAGACATCGACATTGTGATATGTAATATTCTTCAAGCAGTCAAGCAGTCTACTTCTCCTTTTCCTTGTGCTCCAACCGATCGATCGATCCCTGATATCGTACAATTTGTTGTTGATCGAAAGTCCAGATTTGTGTTTTGAGAAAGAAAAAGAGAGATGAAGAATCTCTAAAATCTCGTGTAAATGCGGGTTGACTGTTTATACCCCATTGTTGCACTGTCTCCCTGTCTGAGACTGCATAGCGAAATGGTCCATCCGGGTCGGGCCGGTTCTGACCATAGTTTGAAGTGGTAATGAGTTAATTTTACAAGTGGCTCCTCAAAGTATCTTTGTGGTTCATTTAGTCATTAAAGTTGACAGTATTACATAATCGATCACTCGTTTAATATAATTATATGAGTAGTGTTACAGATACATAAGTATATACATAAGGGTGTCCATAATGTCACGTGACAACTCTATCATTTGCTTGTTTAAAACACAATCAACTTTTTCAAGCAATATTTTCTCCCTACATCACATTATGATCCTTTATATATATATTTGTTATGTACACTTAACGAAATCCTAATTATATTCTACTCTACATCAGATGTTGGGCCGATTTATATTAAAACGCAATTTTAATGACAAAAACAACCAAAAAATTTCAAATCCCTTCATCGAACATTGTTATTATTTTTTTAATCATTAATAATCAATAAAAGTCGTGATGAAGCTAAAACAAAAGATCAACTTGAAGGAATCGCTTGCTTTAACAACAGTTAGAGCATGTGAAAGTGTAATAATAATTATGCTTGATATAATCTCAATCAGGCTAAATAATTTGAATTTTTGCTTGAACTTTAGTGAAATTAATTTAGTTGTAATTGTAATATCTTTGTAAGTAATTTAGAACGTAAATGATCATGGAAACTCACATTATCCAATATTTAAAAATACATTCAAAATTTCATTAGTCAATGTGACGGTACCCCACGATCATATAAATCGATGATCATCTAAATTTTAAATAAATAACATTACTCTTTAAAAATTGACTTGGCCATTGACCTACATTTTTATTTCATCATCTAATCATGTCTATTTTTTT